CTCTGTGCTCCAAGAAGGGGCGGGGCCTTGGGTGGAATGGGCAGGGCTGGGGGCAGCGAGCCCTCACCCCTGCCTGGTCCGCGTCATGCTGCTTTCCCCCTCGCCCCCGCAGCCAGCCCTGAGAGCTACCCAGAGCACCACGTGGGGCTCCAGCGGTGATTTCAAGGGCCCGGTGCGGCGGCTGCTGCTGCTCCTGGGCTACGTCTGCACTGCAGGCTTCTTGCACAAGAACTTTTTACACAAGAGCACGTCCACACGGCCATGTGCTTTTGTGCAAGAGCGTGCATGGGGTGTAGACGGTCTCTTGAGCAAGAAAGCTCTGATGGCCATTTTAGCCATAGGGGTTTTTTGCACAAGAAACCCCTGTTGCCCTTCCACACTGCCCTCTTGCCCAAGGGCTCTTGTGCAAAAAGGCTTATTCCTTACAGTGGATGAGAAGCTGGATATGCATCAACACAGAGGGCCCTTGTAGCCAAGAAGGCGAATGGCATATTAGGGTGCATTAGGAGGGGCATTGCCAGCAGATCCAGAGACGTGATTATTCCCCTTCATTTAGCTCTGGTGAGGCCATATCAGGAATATTGTGTCCAGCTCTGGGCCCCTCACTATAGAAAGGATGTGCACGCACTGGAGAGGGTGGTCAAAATGATTAAGGGGCTGGAGCACATGACCTACGAGGAGAGAATGAGGGATTTGGGTTTGTTTAGTCTGCAGAAGTCAAGAGTGAGGGGGGACTTGATAGCAGCCTTCAGCTTCCTGAAGGGAGGTTCCAAAGAGGATGGAGAAAGGCTGTTCGCAGTAGTGACGGATGGCAGAACAAGGAGCAATGGGCTCAAATTACAGTGGGGGAGGTCTAGGTTGGATATTAGGAAAAACTATTTCACTGGGGGGGGAGCTCTGGGATGGGTTCCGTAGGGAGAGGGTGGAATCTCCATCCCTAGGGCTGTGTCTAGACTGGCAAGTTTTTCCGCAAAATCATCTGCTTTTGTGGAAAAACTTGCCAGCTGTCTACACTGGCCGCTTGAATTTCCGCAAAAGCACTGACGAGCTCATGTAAGATTGTCAGTGCTTTTGCGGAAATACTGTGCTGCTCCCGTTCAGGCAAAAGTCGTTTTCCGAAAAGCTTTTGCGCAAAAGGGCCAGTGCAGACAGCAGAGATTTGTTTTTCGCAAAAAAGCCCTGATCGCGAAAATGGCAATCGGGGCTTTTTTGTGGAAAAGCGCGTCTAGAGTGGCCACGTACGCTTTTCCGCAAAAAGTGCTTTTGCGGAAAAGCATCCTGCCAATCTAGACGCACTTTTCCGAAAATGCTGTTAACGGAAAACTTTTCCCTTAAAAGCATTTCCAGAAAATCATGCCAGCGTAGAAGTAGCCTAGAGGTGTTTAAGTCTCAGCTTGACAAAGCCCTGGCTGGGTTGATTTAGTTGGGATTGGTCCTGTCTTGGGCAAGGGCTGGACTTGATGACCTTCTAAGGTCTCTTCTAGCCCTATGATTCTATGATTCTCATAGAAAGAGGAATAATTCATGCACAAAAAGCCCTGTGTTCCCACCATTTACTGAACTTTTTCTTGCGCAAGAACGCGTTTGTAGTGTGGGTGCTCCACAGTGTAGAGGGAGCTGTGTTCGGAAGTCCCGGGCCCCTTTGAATCGCTGGGCCCTGGGGCAACTGTGCCTCCCCCCACCACTGGCAGGTCTGCCCAGTGTAACTGGCACTGGTGAGACCTCAGCAGGAGCATAGTGTGCCACTGTGGACACGGCTCCTCAGGAAAGATGGGCTCCGTCGGAGAGAGTCAGAGGAGAGCAACACAAATGGTGCAGAGTTTAGAAAACCTGGCAGTTGAGGAAAGGTTAATGAAAGGGGCCTGATCAGTCTTAAGAAAACTGAGGGGGGCCCGATAACAGGACTCTAATATGCTACCGGCCCGTGATATGTTTTTCCTCATTCCGAGGCGTTACATGCGGTGACATCCTGGTTATCTAGGGAAGTTGCGGAGTCTCCAGCACTGGAGGTTTTTCAGAGCAGAAGAGACAAGTCCCCTCAGGAATGGCCGAGCTCATACGTACGTGACGCAGAGACGAGGCCTGAGCTGCATGGAAGCGAATAGCCAAAGTTCTAAAGAGCAAGCACAAGAAATTCTTTGTTTCTCGGAGGCAGGAGGGCTGAGGGATGCAGCGGCTCCACTGGACAGACAGGGAGTAAAGGGAGCGCTTAAGGAGAGGAAGCACGTTGCTGAGACATTGACTCATCTGCAGCATTCAGCAGCACCGAGGATGCTGGGAAGAAAGCTACCTGGCATCATTCATGTCGAGGAGGAATTGTGGTGTCAAAAGAAGAGGTGCTGAAACAAACTGGTAAATTAAAGCACAATAAGTCATTAGGACCAGATGATTCATTCAAGATCTTAAGCAAGAAGGCCCTGAGCTACTAACAAAACTATGCTCCAAGAAGATCTCTGGTCAGTGTTTAGCAGCCATCACAAACACACAAACTGATGGGAGGCAGGAGGAAAGGGATGGGGAGGAATATGGAAAATATTATAAAGCTATTATCCAAATCAGTGGGATGCCCTCATCTGGATTCGAGCATTCGGCCTGGGCCATTCCCTCCCAACAGGGATATGGCAGGAACAAGGGGGGTCAGAGAGCAGGGATCGGAGACATGAACAGGCTTCACCGTGCTCCCTTCAGAGCTGGGAATCTCAGAATCTGCCACAGGGAGCAGCTGAGAAGTTGGGGCCTGTTCAGTTTAGAGCGCGGCTACAGAAAAGGCGTCGTGATCCAGGGATACAAATAACACAGCTCAGCCCTCGGCCTTCTTCTGGGGTCTCTGGGTCAGGTCACTGCCGGACACAAGGCGCTGGACTCGCTGGGCATGGCTTGGACCAGCCCCCCCATTCCCAGGCTCTAATAAAGAACGGCCGCTGGACAACATTCTGCTGAGGTCAGAGTGGTGACAAATGACAGGGACCAGGGAGCAGAGGCCACAGAGAGGCTGGGGCGGGGGGGGGGGGGCGGTTTTTTCTC